AAATGCAGCTATTATTTTAAGTCCTTTATATCCTAGGGAAGAAAGAACGGTAGGAAAGGACTAAATCTAAGCCACTTGTTAATTAAAAAGCACAAATCCTGAGGAGTTGCTTGCAGAATGTGATATAATACGAACTATGATCTCTGGTACCTAAGAAACTTGGAAGCTTTTTGAATTTAATGCCGTTGTATCAAAAGAACACAAGGCAATATCCGTGACAAAAGTGTCTCCTCCCAGCATTCTTTCCCAAACATGTCTGTTTCTACACTACTCTGTGAGTGGATTAAAAAAAAAAACCACCTTCAAACAACAAATAAAAGCCTCAAAATTAGAAAACTGATGTCAAAATCTCAACAGCTGAATTTGGATGAAACACGCCAGCAGAAGAGATTTATGTTTCTTGATTTAAAAGCAACTTGTGAGAACTCAGCTACAATCCACTCGCAGAGCAGATACAGCTTTATGGGGCACCAGGGCACTGATGAGGTCAAGTGGCATGAGTTTGTGGGGGTGTAGCGGAAGGGATACCATTCAGAGGGACCTCAACAGGCTTGAAAGGTGGGCCCGGGTGAACCTAATGAGATTCAACACAGCAAAGTGCAAGGTTTTTCCACCTGGGTCGGAGGAACCCCAGGCATCCATATAGACTGGAAGGAGTGGTCCTTGAGAGCAGCCCTGCAGAGAAGGACCTGGGGGTCTTGATGGATGAAAAGCTTAACACGAGCCAGCAGTGTGCCCTTGCAGCTCGGAAAGCAAATGGTATCCTGGGCTCCATCAGAAGAGGGGTGGCCAGCAGGGACAGGGAGGTGATTGTCCCCATCTGCTCTGCTCTTGTGAGACCCCATCTGGAGTACTGTGTCCAGGTCTGGAGCCCCCAGTACAAGAAAGACAGGGAGCTGTTGGAGAGGGTCCAGAAGAAGGCCACGAAGATGATCAGGGGACTGGAGCACCTCCCCTATGAAGACAGGCTGAGGGAGCTGGGCTTGTTCAGCCTGGAGAAAAGAAGGTTGTGGGATGTCCTCATTGCAGCCTTCCAATACATAAAGGGAGCCTACAAACAGGAGGGGAGTCAACTCTTTGAAAGGGTTGATAACTGCAGGACAAGGGGAAATGGTTTTAAGTTGAGGGAGGGGAGACTTTGGTTGGGTATCAGGGGGAAGTTCTTTACAATGACAGTGGTGAGGTGCTGGAACAGGCTGCCCAGAGAGGTTGTGGATGCCCTGTAGAGGTGTTCAAGGCCAGATTGGATGGGGCCCTGGGCAGCCCCACAGTTTAAAATGGGGAGGTTGGTGGCCCTGCATGTGGCAGGGGGGTTGGAGATTCATGGTCCTTGAGGACCCTTCCAACCCTGGCCATTCTGTGATTCTGTTTTATCTGCCCTTGCATTTTTACCTTCATGGAGCATTTGCAGCAAGGTCCAAACCAGCACCAATTCCCTGACAAACACCATCCTCTGAAGCCCAGCTTTGTGTTGTGTCTGTGCAAGGCGACTGGCTTCCACTGTGGAAGGAAAAATCTGTGACAGTCGCAATGAAGCAACCCAGAAATCTTGACCCTGCTGAAACCAGTATCAGAGACTTCATTCTTGGGGTGAAATGAAGCAGTACTTCCAGCAGTCACAACATGCCCCTTCAAGCAGACATCTGCTGGTAGCTAATGATAAGAATGACACAGAGAGATTTGTTCTTTCTTGCACTGTTTGGTCAACCAGTGCATGCCTGGTATTTTTCAGCTCAGAGAGATCAGCATGCCAAGAAGCCTTTTCCCATTTTGATAGGAGTTTGCGCTTTGACGGTTTGCTCTGCCTGGCATGAGATGAGCCATACAATCCTAATTCCTTGCAGCAAGTGGCTCTGCATGGCAGTAAGTACCACAGCTGTCCTGAGTCCTAGCTACCTGTAAATTGCTTCTGCACACGCACTGAAAAATTAACTGCAGCCAAAATTTAAAGAAGTCATGAGTCTGTCCTGAGCATCCTTGCACACCTGTGTGATGTCAGTTTGCCTCTGAGCCAACTCAGAGCCCTTTCACGGGCAAAGCATGAGTGGAGCTACAAGGAGCGCCTCACCATTGCTGGCTGCTCACCCAGAGCAGCTCTGCAGGCTCCCACACATCCATTTCTTAAACCCTTTTCAATGGTCCTGCCCCTATGCAACCCATTCCAGGGAGGATTGGTCAGATCCCTGCACCTGCCAAGTGCCAGTATAGGGACGGCTGCCTGCATCCTCTCAAACTCTTCTCAGCTGACTTCCTTTACCCACCAGCTGGAACTTCTGGCTGCTACGGAAATCCTTTTTTCTGCATGGGTTCATTATTTTTGTACAAAGGACACAGGCGTCAGACTAGGGATGTCTGGAAAACAAGCAGCAGAAAAAGAATCACGAGGACAAGGTCAAGGCACACTATGTAGAGCCAAGAACTGGCTCATTCCCCAAGTTGTTCCCAGCTGTTGAATAGCAAGCAAAAACTGCAGAGTGTTGCACAGAAAACCCAGTGGTAGGCAAGCTGGAGTTGTATTTTGTCAGCTTTGTCAAATAGCATTTTAATGAACTTCTAGCTCCTTGGAAGTAAATCCGTTGTTGAGAAATCTGGGCATCTTAAGTAGAGTTTTCTATGTTAAGCCTTTCATAATTCCTTCTGAGTTCTTTGCTAATAGGCTGTTTTACTCTACAAATAAATCTCTGTGAAACCCAATGTATGTATTCAAGTGGTACTTCCTGCACATTTCAGTGTCTGGGAAATTTTGTTGGACATTACTATTCAAATTGAACTTTAGCACACATAGAAGTGGTCACGCAGCAGAGATGAAAGCTTGCTCTGTAATACTTCCTTCTGGAAGGAAGATACTTAATGAATGCCTTAAAATTAGACTGTTCAAGAGAGTCAACCAGCATTTAAGAAAAGTTAAATAAGTGGGCTTACTATGTCCACATAGTGCTGCCTATAGTAAATCAGTATGACTGACCCCCTCAGGAGGCGTATTTCCTTCAGACTCTCTGAATACCTGGTACACGTGGGACAGAGAGGGAGACAAGGCAAGAACGAGTACGAGATGCTATCCCAATTAAACAAGAAGTAGGATCCTGAGTCTTCTACATGCCTGCAGCTGATCCCTGTGATCATCACAAAGGATGCGTTTCAAGACTCTTAGGTCACTCGCACTTTACTTGCAAGGTGAGGTTTGGGCAAACAGTTGCAGGAATGGAGAAAAGGACAGAATAGCAGCATTTTCCCCCACTTGTACCTTTGTGTCCTGTCTCCTAACTGCCTACCCCACCCTAAGCATGGGGTGCAAGGGTGGGTGAAGGTGAGCACCTAACAACAGACGCATTCCTCTCTTCCGCTGGATGCCCCATCCCCAGCTGCCTCCCTTCCTGCTGACAACAATGAAGGCCAAGAGCAGTCAGAGCTCTCCATTTCCTCCTCCCTAGGACAAACTTTCAAATAGGATGAACAAACAAGCAAAGCTAAACAAAAAGCAAGCCCCCCCCATCCCCTGACTTGATACACATAAAAAAAATGAAACCACACCCTCCCCTCCCTCCCCCCTCAAAAAAAACCCCACCAAAAATAACTCCTATAAATAACAGTCTGCTACAAACATGTTTTTTCTGGATTTCTACTCAGACTTGAAAGGCTGCTCCCTCTTGTTCCCAAATGACACAAAGCTGATAGCCCAGGGATTGCATGCTAGAGCTCCACCTTCCACAGCATTTACGTTTTTCCAGGAATTCAGAAAAGTGCTATCTTTTATCCAGAGGGCTGTACCATCAGGGCCTGATGGGATGGATGTCATCACCTGCCACTGTTTCAAAAGTCACCTCTCCTTCCCTTCCCAGCTTTAATTGCTGTGAGCCCCTCTGAACTACCAAGTACTTCCAGATGTCTAAAGCATCAGGTGAGTGGGCTGAATCCTGGCCTCAGTTACAAGCCACAGAACAACACATACCCCCAGAAGAAGGACAGCAGCGCAAGAAAGGACTGCGCAGCCAAAAGAAGGCTGAACAGAACAGGCTCTGCTGGACCACTGCTGAGCAGCCCACGCTTTTCCTGCTCTGCTCTCTCCCCTGAGAGAGCTCTCCCAATAGTGGGATTCAAAAGGAGAGTCACTGCCCAGAGTGACATTTTACTGATAGCACTGCACAATACTGTTGGAGTACATTCCAGCAGTTCTTAAGCCATACATATGCCCTGCTGCACATCTGCACACTCAGAGGGGCCTCTTCCAAAGAAGGGATGCAGCTTGTGCTGTCCCCAACTGAGGCCCTCTTCAGAGAAGCTGTCAGTGTCACGAACAGAGAATGAAGGCTTGTGAGAGCTGCTGAAGGCAGGCAAGTCAGAAGAAGCCTCCTGCCTAATAGATCATGCTTGTAGTGACTGTGAGAGGACGTTAGATATCTGTTAACACAGATACCCAGAACAGAGAATTCAGCAGAACGACGCTCTCCCATGCTAACAGGATTGCTAGTGGAGGCTCCGCAGCAGAACCACTTCTATCGAGAGCACCGACTCTAAGCAAAGCCTTGGGAAGAACCGAGCTCCCACTCACAAGTCTTGTGAGCACTGACAGCTACGTGCAACTCAGAAGAAATCCACCACCTGTCTTAATGGCAAACCACAGTAAGACAATGACACCAATGCTGGCTCTTAACTTCTGAGACTTTCACATCCATTTAAGCTGAATGTTTATCTTTCTTACTGCTCGCAATCTTCCTCTGCTGAATCCATCCCCTCTGCTCCGTGCAAGAGCATCCTACAACATGAGCCGCGGGCAAAACACCGACAAGCACTAACACGGGGCTGTGCCGCTTACACCGCCGCTGGAAAACAAGAGAGAACAGCCGCACCGCTTTCTACTACTGGAATGAGACTCAAGCCTAACAGCAAGGCAGCCGCTGCCTGCGGCTCCGGGCAGGGGACACCGGGACTCCGCGGAGCCCTAAAGCGAGCAGCTCCCCGTCACACCCGCTCCACGCCGCCGCCCACCCCATGCCCCGCACCTTGCTCGCAGGCTCCCTTGCTGCGCTGGCTGATGGCGGGCTCGCCGCGGCTCTGTGCGCGCAGGCTGGCGGCGCGGAGCTGGCAGCCGCTGCCGTAGGTGAGCCCGTCGCTGCCGCACACCGGGTAGCGGCTCTTGCACACGCACACGCCGACCGGGGCGGCGGGGCCGGAGGCGGCGGCGGGGCCCGGGCCGCCCTTCGCCTTACGGCGCTTGCGGCTCTTCACGCACTCCAGCCCGGCGGCGCAACGCCCGCCGCCAAAGCCGGAGCCGCCGCACGCCTCGCCCTCGCCGCGCCCGCACTGCCAGCAGCACCCGCAGGCGTCCCGCACCCGGCCCAGCGGGCAGCCCCGCGGCGGCAGCGCCGGGCACCGCGCGGCGTCGCACGGTCCGCAGCCTCCCAGCTCCGTCACCGCCGCCACGGCGGGCGTCAGCAGCGCTAGAACCCACAACACCGGGAACGGCATGGCGGCACGCCGGCTCGCCGCCCCGCGCCGACTTAAGCCACGACGCAGAAAACCCCGCCCCGGGAGGCGGCCGTTCCTCCGCACCGCCCACGTGGCGCCGGTCCCCCCGTGCCCGCCGGGGCTCGTGTCGGCCGCCGCGCCAGTGGCCGTACCGCCGGCGAGAACCGCGGTCAGTATAACGCCTTGCTTAGCGGCAGCACCTGCGGAAATCTTGAGCGAAAGAGAAGGGATTTAGTGACACTGTACTTGTTATCAATGACAAAAATCCATATACTGTGCCATGTCCGTAATGTCAGTACTTTCATCTATTGCCAAATCATAACATTTGAAAAGAGCAGTAGATCCAACACTTCCTCCAACTTGGTGTCACCTACAGATGTAGCGAGGGCATGTTTAACTCCCTCGTCCAGATAATCAAACACATGGACACCTGGAGGACCAGTGGCTGTGCGGAAAGATGCTGTGAAGCCTACGTTGAATTGAAAGGGCTCTGGAAGTCTCTGGAGCACCAAAATGAACTGGGGAGCTCTGAACTGAGCAGACAAGGACTTTGGAAATGCTAGGGATGTGCTGAATGGCACGTGCAAGCCCCCGGACAAATAAAAAAAAGAGATCACAGGTCCTTGGCAAGCATAGGAAAACACTGATAATCCTGAGGCCAAAGAGAAAGGCACTTGGAGGTCCCCGAGCGCAAAATAAGTGCAATCAGAGCAGTGTTGTGCAAGCAAGATGAATTTAGAGGAACTTGACAAACTGCAAGGCATTCTAGAGACAACTGCTATGCACAGAAAGGCAACTGGAGGCCCCTTTGGTTCACCAAACGTCATGATAAAGACTTGAGCGTAGGTCTAAAAAATGACATTCTGCATGCCACATCAGACATCCACTGTGAGCTCCTTCGGTGTAGACAAACCTGTGGGTCTCACTTGCCGATGGGGCCATTGCTCACAGAGAGCCTCTGGGAGGTGGTGAGTGAGGGCTCCCCTCTCCTGCTTGCATATCTTGTTCTTTTTCCTTTTCTCTGCCTCTCCCATGTGCCAGGCACACCAGGTCAGCATGAATACAAGTCAGTAATTAGTATTGCTCAAGTGCCCTCACTCCGTTCATATAGATCAATCTCGATTCCATTCCAGAACCACTTAAGAGCTCTGGATGGGCACGCAGGCAGAGAAGAGACGCTCCTCCAGTTCCACTTCTCTTTCTCTTCTTTGCTTTGGTTCTACCAGCTTCTGGGTAGCTTAGGAGCAGCCTCCTCACAATCTTCTGCAGTAGGATGACGTTTGCTTCTAATCCATATAACTCCTCACAGAGATTGTAGGAGTTCCTGCTGTAGCTGTGAGTCCTGGCAAAAGGTGGAGGTAGGAGGCTCATCTCCTGAAAATGACAGCGCACGGGGCACGATGAAAGGGACAGGGGCACAAGGGGCTGTTATTCCTTGTCCCACGCATTACTGACACAAGACCATGCCCCTGGTCACAGCAGTCTTGCACCATTGGGCCAGCCTGACCTGTGTCACTCACATCTTTCCATCTCCTGCTGGCTGTGCTACATAGAAAAATGGCCATAAGCAACATCCCGCCAAGCAGGCACAGGGCTGGGTAGTTCCTACAGACTACCTCCATGATTGCCATGCTTACATCCAGCTGGGTAGAGGAGGGCAAAAGGTGGCCCTGTGGGTAGGACAGGTTGGAGATTTGGCCAATGTCCTCAGGAGTTGTGTCCCACATGAGGGTGGCCAGGATGGCCAAGGCTGCCAGGGAACAGAAAAACCTCACAGAGCATAAACACGAGGGAGATCCCTACGTTGAGCACTGCACTGCACATTCCCTAGTTGAAGATCTGGTAACACACCAGGTGCCCCACAGTACAGTCAGTGATGGCTCTGTGATGTCGCAGACTCTGTGGACACCCAGCAAGTGGGGAAGGTCACGGCAGGGAGGCATGGCCCAGGGAGAGAGATTTCTCAGCTGCCGTGGCCATCCCTTTGCTGCTGGGCTGCCTCCCCCTCCTGGGGGCTGTGCCCCAAAATGCTCCGTGAGGAGGAGCTGCACCAGCACAGGGGCAGTGCCTGGGCACTCCCTGACCAATGCTCATGTTCAGCTGTGCCCACGCTCAGTGGGGCAGGACGCTATTGTATTAGTGCCTTGGCACAGAGTCTCTGCTGACACAGGCAAGAGCAGGTTTCCAAACCCATCTGGGGTCTTATGCATCTTCTGCCCTTTTCCCACTCAGGGCCAAGTGTGGTGGCCACCCATCTGCTGGAAGTACGAGGATGTTATCCAAGGAGCGTTATTCAGATGGTGGAAGCAGAAGTTAAAGGCTTGTGCACATAATCACAGGAAACATTCTTAGCCTGTCTGTTCTCCTCAAACTAGAGGAACCACTGAAAACTTGTGATGTTCATGGTCAGCGTACAGCTTTGCTTCAGCTATTTGAATATGAAAGACTCCATATATGGGCCCTGGGCTCCAACCCAGGGCTGTGCTCCAAAGCTCTCAATACCTGGCAGTGTGCTATTTGGTTAAGCTTAAAGTGGCACGTGGATGTCTCTGACTTGACTGACAAAAGACACCTTTAGGCACTTGGCTTGAACGAAGAAGCATAATGCCTGAGTTCAGTGTAACGAAGTCTAATCCTACAATTTGCCTATCAAATATTTAGTTCAAGTGCAGAACAATTCTGTAATATCCAAACAATGCCTTATTGAGAATGCAGATGTAACATCTTAGATCTGCAGATATTTGCAAAATTAACACAGTTGATAATCACTAAGTTAGCATGCAGTTAATTGCTCAATTAACTGTTACGAAATCAACTGGAAATTGAAGAAGCCTTACAAGTTGCACTAAGATGACTAAAGAGCAGATCAAAGGAAAAGAAGGTAAATGAAATGACAATTTAATTCATCTCCATCCTTTCCAAGACAGAAGTGGGTGATTTCCATTCTGCTACTATGAGATTGCACTCCTCCGCCTTCCAGATTTCCTACCTATTAGCACAGTGGCTTCACTGGTTGTAGAGACTGTTAGCCTCACTTGGGGGCCATTTTACATCCATAAACATACATCCATTTGGGGCTAGTTTACATCCATAAACAGAGACACTTCAACAATACATTACTGGGAAGTAGCATCCACTGTTTCCTTTTCCACTGCCTTCTGATGACTTGTTCGTGTCACTTGCACTTTTTTGGTAGATACGAATGCTCATCAGCACGCAATGTGCTTTACTGTTAACGATACCAGTAGTCAAATCTCCTTATTCCTCCTCCCCCACTTTTCCCAAACTGTACAAACTATATAGCATGCCAATATAGCCAATTGGAGCCTTAGCAAAGCCTGATATTTTCCTTAGCCTTTCAACCAATGGAAGCAGCATTCACTGGTTTGTGTTACACAAGCATTTACTCTGCTTTTCTGTTTTCAGCTCCATACAGGTGCTAATAAGGAGAATAAGACTCCAGCAGATATGAGAGCATTACCATGTAGTCATTAAGGCTGGAGGAGACCCCTAGGAACACTCACTCCCAGCATGCCCAACCCGCAGCCTAGCACTGCAGCCCCCATTCCCTGCTGCCATGCTATCACAGCGCATGGAGCAGAGAATTCAGCAGAACCATGCTCTGCCACGCTAACAGGATTCCTAGCGGAGGCTCTGCAGCAGAACCACTTATATCTAGAGCACCGACTCTAAGCAAAGCCTTGGGAAGAACGGAGCTCCCGCTCAGAAGTGCTGTGAGCACCGACCGTGTGGGCCGATGGCGGGCTCGCCGCGGCTCTGTGCGCGCAGGCTGGCAGCACAACTCTATACAACTCTATACATTCAATTTCAAAATCTGCCACACATGTATACATATTGACTGAAAGGGGAACTGCAAAAAGAGAGGTTTTTTTTTTTTAAACTTGAAATTTTTTCTCAAATTCCTGCATGTATATTTAAACACATCTACATATTTGTCACTGCTCACAGGACTGTGCTCAGCCAATGTATCAAAAAGCATAACATCATCTGCCATAACTTGAGCTTGCCAGAACTGAAGCTTCACTTCAAATGCTGTTATTGTCTGAAACACAGCACTTCTCAAAACAGAAAGCCTGTTCAGCATTTTACCCAACTTATCCACTTTCCTTCCAAAAAGTAAATGATGACCCCGTAATCAGCATCTGTGCTTTCAAAGAGCACCCAGAATTGGTGGTGATTCAGTCCCTTGGCCTTCATGAAATTCATAGCTTTGATGATGAGTTGTGTGACATTATCCATGTTTAAAGCTTTTGCACATAAATGCCTTGATGTCTGATGCAGTGATATTGCATCAAAAATGAATTACCAGGCTTCTTCATTTTCTATTAATTTCCTAATTCCTTTTTTTTTTTTAAACCATCACTGGGGCAACATCAGTAGCTATACCAGACATGCTGACAAAGGCTAAAGAAAATCCCTTCAATTTATTTTCTTCATATCATAATCTTGTTGTCTTTCAGTGGCACCTATAAAAAGCCATTTCTTTAGTGACATTATATTTGTTATCAATACCTCTAACAAAAATGAGATGCCAAGCCTTAACTGTTATGCCAGTACTTTTATCACCAGTGCAAAACTTCAAATTAGGAGCTTTTCTTTCCAATTCTTTTCCAGAGAATTTCCTGTTTCTTCAGTTCATCTGGCTGCAGGCTGGTGAGACAAGCTGATTTTAGAAAAAGCATTTTTATTTTATTTTTTTCTAAATCAGGACATGATATCTGCCCTGCTTTCCATATATTGCTTAATAAACTTACCATGGAGATATGGCATTGAATTTTTTCTTTCAGTCAGATTTTCTATCACTTAAATAGCTTTTATCACAGAATCTATTTGAGTTCACACTTTAAAAAAAATATTTAGCTGAGACTTCTTTCAGTTCTGCAATTTTGTCTTTACAAAGTATTACTTGATGCGCATCACATTTGGCATCATATTCCTGCATACAACGTCATTTCAAATTGTAAGTACTGGAAACTGGCATGATTCCCTTGCAAATTAAGCACGGTGTCATACTGTTTGTCAGTATTGCACAACACACTCCCCATGCCATGGGCCAGGCCACAGAGAGGGGCACAGCTGCTGCCATTGTAGTACAGGGTTGCCAGGCTAGGAGCTGGACACATGAGGACTAAATGATCTTAGGGGATCACATGCACAAAGCACGTGACCTCGAGCAGTACGAATTACTGCCTTGT